GTGTCTAGAATATTTGCATATATTGCGTATATTTTGTATGATATTCTGACATAAGATGGTGTAAATTATTCAGAATATAATTGAAATTGGTTAGGATCTAAGAAGCACAGATATGGGCACAGACACAGGGCAGCAATTTTAAAAAAATTAGAATACGGGCAAGGTGGGAATAAGACAAAAAAAATATATTCTTTATATATCTTCATTTGCTTTGTATATGAATATAAATACGGAGCACATAGATATAAGAAATATCAATGTTCATGTGGGTGTATTGTAATTTTTTCCCTCTTTGTTTCCATATTTTTAGTTCTCGTTTGGGAAGGACCGGTTTAGCCAAAAAGTCAAAAAGTTACTAAAAAAGTCAAAAAGCCAACAACCCATATCAAAAATTCAAAGATTCTCTTTTCTCTCTACTTTTTGCACATCTTTTCGTAAAAAGCCAAAAAGTCATCCCAAACATACTAATTTTTTTTAACTCATATTTTAGCCAAATAGCCAAAAAGTTACTAAATTAGCCCATTCCCAAACGAGGCCTTAGTTTGATCCTAAATTAATTTTCTAAAATTATAAATTTTAAAAATAAAAAAAAAAACACAAAAAAAAAACCCCACAAAGGTGTTCCAAGGCATGTCCAAACACAAGACAGGGTCTATAAAATGTTCCCAATGTATCCTGCAAAAAAAATAATAATAATAATTTTAAAAAAATTGACACGCTACGTGGTGTGTCCGACAAGTAGACACGTGTGTATGAGGTGTGTCAATGTCTGATACTTCTCAAACACAAACACTGCACCCATATCGAAGTCTATGGTTCCCAGGATGAGATTGATGAGAAAGGGGGGATTTCTCTTTCATCCACGTCAAAGGCTAGAAAGTTTTTTTTATATCAAATGTGAGCCATTGTTTTCAAAGGTGAAGATGAGGCGCACACTGAGGCGAGGTGGGGCAATAACACCTCAAGGCATTCAATTTTATGCTTGATGCCATCTTGGTGTACATATCTTGGGTGTTCACCTTAGACATGCATTTTGCCCATTTTGCGCTTCAATGGCCTAGGCATAGGGAAAATGAGAGGTGTCTAAGAAATACGACATAGAAGTAAACCAAGGGTTTTGATTCAACAATTCATTGGCTTCCGATCTGTGAAGACATTGATTTCAAGCTTCAATTCTTCTTTTTCAGCTTCAATTAGTTACTTCTCGGGTCAGACTTGCAACAAGGCTCTCTCTCTCTCTCTCTCTCTCAATACCGTATTTTTTAATTTTAGATGGAACGTAATTATCATATTATAATACGTAATTTTGTCACTGGCCTCTTTTTCAAATACACACAAAATATCACTGCACACCAAGGAGAGTGTTAGATATCTTGATATACATTGTTGGGCCCATTTCCTAATAGCTTAGGCTTTAAGAAAAATTAGTGACTTGACATGGTATCAGAGCTCTGGTTGAGAGAGATCTTTAGTTCAGATCTCTTCGTAAGTATTTGGTGATAAGGTTGTTAAAATCGGGATCCTACGTTGGATCGTTGGAGGTGTTTATAGGATCGGATCGAGGATCGTAAGATCCTACCGAAAAAGACAAATTACATAATAATTTAATTTAAATAAATATTTCTTATAAAGTATATACAAAATGAGCCTATATTCTATTAAAAAGAAGTGAAGATATTGTGAAAAATATAATACTCTATGTAAAATGTACATATAATATTATGCAATAGAAAACTCAACGGTAAAAGTTTTGTATTTGATCAAAAAATAAGGTGAAGAAGAAGAATTGTATAACAAAATACTTTACAATCTACAATAATGCATAAAAAGTGAAGAAAAAATATTTAACAAAGTTGGATATGAAAATAGATTAAGAACTCAAAAGAGTAGCTTAGTCGAATGATAAGGTTTGTCGTTAGCATCTCTGGTAGAGCAGATTCGAGCCACAAAAATAATTTCACCAAAAATTGGGATAAAGTTTCAATCATCTTACCCTCCTTAGACTCCGCTAAAGCTAAGTTTGTTTTTCCGACTATTTAATTTTCTTAAATTACTGCAATATTTGAATGTTTGTTTCCTAGTTTGTTGTTCTTAGTCTATTTGATTCAATACTACTTAATTTTTATTATTTATTTTGACCACATAAATTGGTATTGAGACAACAAATATAAAATTTACAATAAAATATGTCATACAATACAAAACAAGGCTTGTAAATTGGATCGGATTCGGATCGAGATTCCACGATCCTATAAGATCCCACTACCAAGATCGAAAGATCCTACCTATAAGGAGTTTTTTACACGATCCGGATTGATTGTACTCAAATGGATCGTAAGATCGTAGGATCGTAAGATCCGGATCGGGATTCTGATAACCATGCTTATATCTCCGTCTGGTTTCTTCCTCTCTGTTTTGTTGTTTGGTTCTCATTCTGTTTGTCTCTTCACATGCAAGACGGGGTTGCACGTGAGGGATGGTGTTAGATAGCTTGATATACATTGTTGGGCCCATTTCCTAATAGCTTAGGCTCTTAGGAAAATTGGTGACTCAACAGACAGCCTTGGAGAGTGAATAACAGCTTGCATTATGTTGAACTCCTATAAATCTCAGCATTCGACTTTCTCCTCTACTCTCTTTTCTTTGCAGTTATGTCCCGTTTGGGTACTTACCTTTTTAGCCAAAAAGCCAAAAAGTTACCTTTTTAGCCAAAAAGCCAACAATTCATACCAAAAAGTCAAAGATTCTTTTTTCTCTCTACTTTTTGCACATCTTTTCGTAATTAGCCAAAAAGTCATCCCAAACATATAAGTTTTTTTTACCTACTTTTTTAGCTAAATAGCCAAAAAGTTACTAAATTAGCCCGTTCCCAAACGAGGCCTTAGTTATTGCATAACCATTCTATATCATCTAAGTATTCCTTATTTCCATTGCATGAATATTCTTGTACTTGTCATTGGGCCCAGGCTATTAGTTTTAGATATCTTGCATTTAAGTTCTGGATTTTTTGTCATTGTTTTATTTGTCGAGATTTATATTGAAACCCAATTCACCACTACCCCACTCTCAAGATTCCTACCCTGTAACACGTTAAAATGCCAAAAAAGAGCAAGCAATATAACTCCCCAGTCCCCACTCAAAATCAATAGAGTAATGCTACAATGACCATCTCCTTTTACCACATTACAAATGTGGCACATACACATTGGTTAAATATTAATAAGATTCATGTGAGGCTCATTATTGTCATTAATATCCAACCAATATATGTGTGTCACATCAAAGCGGTAAAAGGGGTTTTTTTTTCATTGATAAATAAAAAGTGATAAAAGGGAATGGTTATTGTAGCATTACCAAATAAATATATTCTTCCATCCACATTTCATAAATGAATAGAAACCATGTTCAAGTGCTCCAAGTGCAAACAAAGATATTTCCACCAATACAACATGCAATATGATACAATAGATTAACCAGCACCCAAATAAACATCTTGCACATTTGAGTATGCAGCATTTACAAAGACTGCAATTGGAACCAAGACGCCGCAAACAACATAAGCATAGAAAACTAGAATAACAAGAAATACCCTACCTCTCAATCTCAAAAGATAAAGTAGAAAAAGTACATTAATCCAAAAGGAACTTACCATATTGATCAACTTCTTTCAACTTCTCCCTGATCTGTTTCGATAACTCAATAATCTCAGGTGTCTGCAATTCAAACAAATCAACAAACCATTACACACAAAACAAATAAATAAAAAAAGGATAGGAGATGTAACTGCAATAAATGACAACTACTAGAATGTGCCCTCATCCTCAACCATCACCTGTGTAACCTCAGTCACGGAAATTGCAATAGCAGCTTTTGCATCCTCATCCTCAAGACGTTTGAGAGCTCTAGTAATTTTTCTATCACACTCAACAATAAGTCTATCGATAACATCCTCCAAGTCCCTATCATAGTTATCGAGACCTTTTGCTTTGGCTTCTTCATATCTGCAGAGAGTTAAAGTAACACATTCCAAATTTCTAAAAAATTTACATTCCAACGTATGACATCCTGTGTTACATACTCTTCAACTTCACCCAGTGCACCACCCAATTCAGACACTTAGATCCTCTAATTTTATAAAATGTTTGAAGAAGTCACATGAATGGGAGAGAATTTGGAAGGTAAATTTCTAAATAATTTACATCTATTCTAAAAAGACGTATATACAACATGTCATATACATAACCAGGAAAGAACTTATAGGCTTGGTTTCGGAACATCCTACGAAAGTCAAAAGGTCACTAAAAAGCTAAAAAGCCAAAGAACCATACAAAAAAATCAAAAATTCCCTTTTCTCTCTATTTTTTACACTTTTTTCATAAAACACCAAAAAATTATCCCGAACATACTAATTTTTTTCACCTTCTATTTTAGCAGAAAAGTCAAAAAGTCACTAAAATAGCATATTCCAAAACCAACCTCTACAATATGTCATTCTAGTCACCAACCAAAATATATCCTTTATCATTCATAAGGGAAAGAACAAACATTGAACCAATTGGTGTTTCATGTGATAAAAAAGGATACTCTTTCCTTAGCTGCAATGAGTGCACCTTCGGACACGGCCCCATATCCATTTTCTGGAGAGAAAAATAAGTACAAAAGAAAAATATTAAGATAGTGATATAGTGCGTACATAAAGGAGCACTAAAATATCACTAAAACTAATATGTGAAAGTAAAAGCAATAGTTTGTTGACATGCATGAGAATCCAAGTACATTAAACTCAAGAATTACTACAGCACATGTTAAATATAATTAGTGTCCTCAATACAAAGTTTTTCACTAAAACAGCAAATTTGGGCACTGTTTGGCACATTATCTTATTTGGGTCACAATCATCTCATTTGGATCACATCACCTCTTACTTCAACCCCAACCCATATTTCACGTTTTTTCGTAAAAAGTCAAAAAGCATACTAATTTAGCACATGCCAAACACCCTCTTATTATTTCTCAAATGTCTCATCATAATGAAGACTTATCCAACAATGGGAACAAGTCCCCATCAATTTCCACTTAAAACTAGTTATATTTGTCAAGTTTTCCCAATAATTTTAATGTTGTCAGCCAGAGTCTTTTTTTTTTCAACAGTCAACACAGACCCAGTGGCTAATGGTTTAAACAGTTGAAGTCTCATTATGAAAATGATGGAAAACAACCCAAGCAAACAGTCGTACAATACATAATTGAATAACTTTTTTCATTAGTCTTTGGTCCCAAATCAACACAAAGTTCAAAGTTTCATATTTCCTCTTTTTTTAATAAAGATTACTTCCAACTAGGCCTTCGTTTGAGAACAGACTTTTTTAGTAAACTTTTTTGGCTATAATATTGATGTAAAAAACTAGTATGTTTGGGATGAATTTTGTTTTTTACCAATAAAGATGTGATAAAAGTAAAGGAA